ATAATTTGATAGCGAATGTGAGAGAGTTTGACTGTGAATGTAAGAGAGTTTGACTGTGAATGTAAGAGAGTTTGATAGTACGTGTAAGAGAGTTTGTAAGTTTTGGCCCATGGGGCTGTAACTGGATATTCTCTGTACGAAGACGTGAATCATCGCTACGCTAATATGTCCACACAAAACCATAACCGTGTTTGTCAATAGATTTTATAATTACAACGTTTGAAGGGTAAATATTACAATTTTTCCTCTGTATTATCAAATTCCATCGAACAATGTCAATAGTTTTGATTTTAAGCAAAAATGTAAATAATAGCTGGACTTGTTTTACAAGCTGTTCCCAAACCGGGTTCAGAAAACCGATGGATGGAAGATAAGTGGATCAAAAATGAAATTATACAGCTGTATAATTCATCTTTGCAAAACACACGGTCAAAAACAAAAAAGCATTAATGAAAACTAATCTGCCTGCAAATTTACTACTAAGCTTCAAAATGATTCTTTACTGCCTTAAGTCTCTTCATCTTTCGAAAAGCAGCGCAAACTTCAGAGACGGCCACAATTTCATAACTTAAGTGGGCAATTATTAATTCCTGGCATTTAATTAAATTAAAGCCGTTTGAGTCATTGTGGTGAATTATTAATCAGCAGTGGTCACCATGTGGAGACAAACAGCATCTTTTGGCTCCCACTCTCAGCCCGAAGCTGTAATTTCAGGGGAACAAACGGCTTCAGGACCAGATGGAGTCAATATGAGGATGTAGTGAATTATCACTGAGCTCTCATGAATGCCAGACTGAGAGGCCGTAACGAAAGCTGAATGAGTCAGAGCAGCTCAGAGCACAAGGCGAGCTCACCGAAAGCAAACGATGTAAACGCACCCATGCTGTGACTTAAAACAAAAGGAGCATTGTTTTTAAAAGCACTTCTGCAGCACACGGAGGTTTGCAATAAGTGGATGTGTTGGGTTGAGAATTTATCTAGCTGGAAAGTAACATATTTCAGCTGGTTTAGATTTAGAAGACGGTTAGTCTTGTAGGTTTCTAATTAGAGATGACGTTTTAATTTTTTTGAAAAGCATGAAACACCTGAAAAATATGGATTCCTTTGCGTTACCTCGCAATAAATATCGCGTTGCCTTGCAGTAAACTAGCAAATACACACTGGTCTATTTTGTATACAGTCACAGTGAAAACAAATGTCAAATGTTCAACTTTACAGAGTCTCAGCGAAAACGTGTTTATACGTGGCTCCCTGGTACAGAAACTGGTTGAAAGTTGATCCATGTTTGTTTTTTGTTTGTTTGTGTAAGGTGGAGATGGGACAGCACATGAAAACGACACAGCCGAAACACCACCATGTTTCCTCGTGAACGTAGCGCAAAAATAATCGAAATGGTTCTGACGTGCTCTCTTTTTCTTTCGTCCTTACAGAAAGTTTCCGTTTACATCCTTTAGATGGAAAGCCAATGTTTGACCTGTTTGGCATTTTGCACATCTGCTTCTGGTGCATTTGTATCCTCAAGAAAAAGAAGAAAAAACTTCAGGTAACTCACAAACGAGACATTAACACACATGTAAACACCGTAGAAAGAACTTATATTGCAGCAGAAACACTTTCAGTATTGAAGATGATGCAAGAACCGACTGGTAAATACATTAATGAGGGGAAAAAAGCAAAATCTATTGTGAGGCAGCACCAAGTATTGTGTAAGGACACAACACTTTTGTGAGGCAACGCAAAATATCTCTGAAGGGGCTCTGTAAAAATGACACATTTTGGCACAAAGAAGGGCGAATAAATACAGTTTTTTTTTTATTTCTCTGTTGTTGTATTGTAAAAAGTCATTGTTTTTATTGCCTTGTGAGATGGATATGAGAAGAAATCTCACACGACCATATATGGAGAAGGATGTAATAACCCATGCAGTTCCAGCACAGAGAGGAAAGAATTGAAGGGAATATTAAATTAACTAGCTCATACGCAAGCAATGATGTTCTCACTCCATGGTTACATCGCTCTCCATCAAGACGACAAAATGACTTCCTCTTCTAGGCGTAGAAGAGGAAGTCAGTTCTCTGTGCTGCAGCTTCGCACTCCTCAGACTCAGGGACAAAATGTCCTTGAGGGGTCACATTTAAAATTACAGCGAAAATAAAACTACTAATGAAAAGTGGCTGGTCTTGCATTTCATTGTATAATCTGGGTATTCTACTTTGGATGCGATGGTAGTGTCCCTGGTGGGCTGCATAACTTAATTTGCAGGATGCATTGAATTGGAAGAATCTGTCGGCTGCATTAACAAAGGCTGGTTTTGATCACAAACCGAGTCGGCGAGCTGCCAGGAGCAAGAGTAAACACCGACTGAGCGAAATGCAACACGGCGCAAACGCAAAGCAGACGCTGGGAAAAAAACTGCAGGTTTTTGCTCCCAGATTTCTAACATTTAGCTTCTTTTTCTCGTATGTTAGCTTCCAAAACTGAACAGTCTTGTACAACGGCATTAGGGAGTCTGTGACATGCATCAGTTTACTGCACCTAGGGTGTTTTCGCTCCTGATAGTCTGGCGGACTGTGTTCGACTGGGGACCAAAATTGCAACATTTGTTACATTTTCAGCTGGTGGGATTCTCTGTCTCGCTGCACAGTGTCAAACGAACAGGGAAAAACCTGTTTCCCTCCTCACCTGTGGAGGCGCTATACCAAGAACTACTGAAGGAAACGACACAAAAACCTCGGAAGAAGATATAAGCACAATTTTCTTCTTTAAAAAATGTAAACAGAAATGCAATCAGATTGTAGCAGTTGTAGGATTTCTCATGCTGGCGTTAGACTTGGGTTTGTTTATGTTGCATTTACCCACAATGCCCTGCGCTGCAGTCTGCCTCCTGCTTTTGGAGCGTTCTCCCATCCGCTTACACCCAACCGCACCAGAGTTGACTTTATCTGAACCAAGAGCTAGGTTTGTAGGTGGACCAGAGTTCGCTTTTTTGGTCCACATCAGCGTTCATACCACCCCAAACGAACCAGACTTTCTTGGGAAACAAACTAGGGTTTGACTAAAGCGCACTAAACATGGCTGGTGTGAATACACCCATAGTAAATAGGTAGCAGCGGAAAAATGTGGTATGAATTAAAACTTTGTGTAACAAATGGAGATCTATGCCCGAGATCAGACCATTACAATTTGACCGTTACAATCTATCCTGAAAAGCAGGTACAGTATGACGCCGTGAAGGCAGAGTGACGGTGAATTCATCCTGCGTGTAAATAACGTCTAACAGGAGCGAATTAATCTGGTTTTGTACCTCCTTGACTCTCTGGATCATTGGCTGCAGCCAGTCGGCGTTGACCTCACAGTGGCTGTCCAAGAAGGTTAGAATGGTGGCAGAGGCCGTGTTGGCTCCTCTCACTCGTGATCGGATCAATCCTGCCGGAAAACACATGACCCAGACGCTTAAAGGTTAAAAACTCTAAAGCAGGTTGCTAATAATTAACACGGAGGAAAACATGGCGAGCAAACATGAACACACACACAGGGCTGTCACAATACCAAATTTTGTCCCAGAAATTATTGCGATAAATGATAATATTGTCATTTTGAGACCATTTTCAAGTAATATAATAGCAATGGCATAATAATGCAAGTCTTTCAAAGATCAACAGACTTTAATTTCTAACAAACATTTTGCACTGGAACTAAATATCCAAAATAAATAAACAAAACAACAGAAACAAACAAACTAAATTTACTCTGAAGTCTTTGTAAACAGAACTGTCCGTCAAAAAGAAGCTAGTCGAGACAAACGCACCAGACTGAAGACTTTTATCATCCAGTCTTTGGAAGAAAGAGAGAGACCCAAGATAAAAAAAAACAACAATCGTCCAAATGATGATTGACTTATCAAGATAGCAAAGCTAATCTATTTATTATTTAAACTTTTCAACCTTTGTCTGCAATGAATCGAAAAGAAGTTGAAAATGTTAGGAGCCTTCCAGAGGTTTCAGAGCTCAGATTCCTGTGTGTGTTATCTAGGGAACAAACACAGGAACCCTTGTTTATAGCCAGCAATGCTAGCTGTTGCAAACTATGTTAATAGCTAACGTAAGTAGCGATGATCCTCTAGGTCTAGGATGTGAGGTTTCACATGTGGTGTTTCGAGAAGCAAATGGAAACGTGCTAAGATGCGGTTTTATTGTGTCATTTCTGATCTCCAAAGCACTCGACTGCTTCACTTAAACCGTCTCTTTAGCTTAGCCTGTTAGATGAATCATTTAGCACAAATGAGCCAGAGTGGCACACTGCTAAGGGCTATTATTTTGTTCCTTACGAATAGAAAGCGAAAACATTCCCAGCCAGTCCCATGTGAATGCCACACCAGCTTGTATTTGTTGAATACTTCTTATGAATTTAGCAGCATTTTTGAAGATTTCATAGCCCAAAATAAAACTGAAGCGAACGTAAGAAAGGCTAAATATACAAACCAGAAGGAGCTGACATCACCTCTGCTCCGTATATAAATAATGAACATGCACTCGAGGTATGAAGGGTAGAACAAAATGGATTTGGAGCAGTAATTATGATTCTTAAAGAGAAATCACAACTACAATCATTAAAACAGCAGCTCAGAGATTTAGAAAAATAAGAGACTGGAACTTGGCTGTACGAATCAGTATCTCTTGGCTCGCAAATAAAGTTGAGCCAAACTAATTAATCATGTTGTTTTCAGTGAATTTGTCACAAAGCCTGCAACTTCGCTTGTTAATTAGACAAGTGTCTTTGGAGGATCTTCATGGGTGAGCTTTGGGATGTTTGGTATAAATTCCCTATTACAAAAAAATAAATAAATAAACCATTAATTCTTCCCATCTTTTCACTTTCTCTCCAGCGTCAACTCATTGTTGCAGGAATGGATCTTATGTTTAGTTGATCAAAATGGAGGCCTAGTTGAGGAATATCCAGATGGCTGCACACTAAAGAAGCTGACAGGAAATCAGTTCCTCCCTCTGGTCAAAATGTATTTTTCAAAAATGCCACAGAGAATATTTTATGAGTGACACTGGAGCATAGAGAAGGTATCTGCATGACAAAATATGGAATAAACAAAACCCTCACCTCGCTACAAACTTAATCCTCCAGATGGCACTTTGTTTTGCAAAGTGCACAAAGTTTGACCTTTCTCTCTTTCCATACGTCCTCCACTCAAGCCGCCCGGCAGCTTTGGATCGCCAGGAACGATAACAGAAAAATGTTTTTCTCCTTTTTCTCAGTGGACAGTTTTTGCGAACTACGAAAATCCAAATCAACCATCTCCACCACGTCTTCTTTAATAATAATAATAAAAAAGAGCCTCATGTCGGTTCCTATTAAGCCTAATTTACTTTCTGGGGGGAAAAAAATAAAAAATGAAAACATTTCTGTGATATTTACGCATTACATAAGCTGGCACAGGCTCTGAAGATCAAACAGCCTTTAGACATGAAAGCGATTAACTGGATCAGCCTGAGCTAAATACCAAAATGTCTCCCCTTTTTTCCACGCCGGTGAAATAAATGGATTGTTAACGAGATGTCATTTAAACTGGTGGGGGGGAGGGAAGTGTATTTCAAAAGATGTCATGTTAAAAACAAGACATTAATAAAGCTGCATCTTCAATTACGGTAATTTATTTTAACGTGGAATTCCCTACAGAACAGTAAACTTAGGTTTTGTAAAAAAAGGTTGTAAATAGTTGATATCCTATCGATATAAGAAAACTCCCTTGGCCTCTACTTTTAGAGTAAATCCAGATTAGATTAGTCCGGGATGATAGAACTAACAGGAAGTGTGAGAGAGGCCGAGACCTGTGTGACCTTTATGACCCTTTAAACCGATGTCATGTTTACGTTGACTGGTTATTTACAGTAAAGAGAGTGATTATTTACATGGGAAGCTGGAGGTGGTGCGCCACTGATCATCTTCCCTGTGTACTGAAACATAAGGTACAACAGAAACACTTTACATCAAACTCAGGGTCCGCGGGCCAAATCCGGACCAACAAAACTTTTTATGTGATCCTGAGAAATGCATAAATAAAACCTTCAATGACAGCTGTATGCTTAAATATTATTTCATCAATCAAATCAAAGCCGTTTTTATACGTTTAGTGGTGAATTACGTTAATCAGTTGCTCTGGCTTTATTTGCTATTGGAGAAATTCCCGCAAAATCAACAGTTCATTGCAAATTTTTCAGCAAGAATGGCCAAAAATGTCGGGTTCAAGTGACTGCTAACTCCCACCTGCAGGTGGCAGTATTTCTTTCTCAGCCTTACTTGTCAATTTTTAGTCCATGATCGATTCGGCAAGTAGCTAAAAGACACATTTACCATCACAGAGAGGCACAAATATTACAAGATTTCTGGCAAATATTTCTAAATTTATGCTACTTTGAAAAAAGAAAAAAAATATGCAAAAACAATTGTGAAATCTTAGAACTGATCATTGTAAAAATTTGTTCAATATTATTTAATTTTAAGACTTTTAAGACGTACTTATTGAATGCAGATACAGCTACTTATTAATGTCTTAATTTAAAAAAAAAGGATTTTACAAGTATTATGCATTCTGGGACAACCAGCCCTTTGAGAACATTCATGATCTTCATATGGCCCAAAAATGAAAATAAGCTCAACATCCCTGCTTTGAATGGTCCACTCTTCCTGTGTGTCCATGTCTCACACAGGAAGTTCACTAGTGATCCTTTCATAAGCTCATAAAATCTTGAACTCATCAAATAAACATGTATTTACATTCAGATATACATTTAAATGCACATTTCTCTGCGCTTACAGGGTTTTCCTGCATTATCAAGTTAAAAGAAAGACATACAAAGCAGAATATTTATGAGTAAAAAACTTATTTTACCATTTCTAATGACACATATAGTTTTATTTTTTTCTATCATTTAATCAGACAAAAACAAGATTCTGAAAGAGAGCTTTGCTCAGCACGGCTCGCAGCAGATTGGCACATTTGTTTTTACTGAAACTAATGAGGGCTTTACAAAATAATGAGTCCCATCTTGGTCCAATGGTGCAGAGTTAAACCTGCTGTTATACCAGATCTTCTGCCCCGTGGAGTGATTGGTGCTTTTAGGTTTTATGAGGCAGTCGGACACGAACAAGCACATGATTGTGCAGTGAAACTGTCTGGTCTACATGCAAAATGCTCTCTGAACATCCCCATACTGAGAGATGGCGGTGGCGGTGTCATGCTGTGGGGATAACTTTTCTGCAGCAGAGACAGGGAGGCTGGTTAGGGCGATATGGACTGAAAAGTTTTATCACGATATTTTGTGGTACTATTGTGATAACGAAAAAAGTGACGATAAGAACAGTTGATTACTACTTTTTTAGGTAACTGCATGGCTGCGACTGCATCACACAGCATTTATAGCCCCACACACATAAATACTGCTTGAAAAAAATTTGTAAACATGAGCTTCTTTGGGTCACCAGTCACACAAACAAGTGTAATTTCTATCATTAAACTGAAAATCGTAACTGCATTTAATTGTATTTTCTAATTTGTTGATGCTTTCTTTGAACAAAACGAGGATAAAATAGAAAAGTTAACAATCCTGACAGTACGGACAGTTTGTGGGTTTTTAAACACAATTAACTGGAATTAAATCGAAATTATTATCATGATAAACAATGTATCACAATAAATTTTAAACGATACAATAAATACCGAGCCGTAGTCAGAGTTGAGGGGAAGATGAATGTAGCTAAACAGGGCCTTACTGGAGGAAACCTCTGCTACAGATGACAAAAAACACGCAGCAAGAGCTACGTTAGCATGAACTAAATCATGTTAGAACAGCCTTAACAGTTTAAGAGCTGACATGGGAACAAAATCAAAGCATTTTTTTTTAGCTCTAATACCATTAACATTAGCTGGGTGGTAACTCAATGAGAAAAGCCTGCCTTGTTGTGTTAGCGCTCACTAACCTCTAGCACAGTGCGACGCATTAAATGAGAGGAACTCAATGATGCTTGAAGCTGTGAAGCTATTTAAAACTCAAATCAATTCACCGACAGATGATGTGACCATGTTTTTTTTCTCTCCTACTTCTGCTGTTGTGATAAAAAAAAGAAAAAAAAAAAGAAAGAAGTGAAAACAGTAATCTGCCTTGAACATTTTTATCGGAGAAAAGCTGTGAAAGATTTAACTCATGCTCGAAGCTTTAGCTCCCTGCCCCGGATTTTTAAAGCTGGCGGAATAGGAAATCTTTAAGATAAGCTTGATCTGGTCGACTGTGACCGCCGGTCGGACGACGCTGGCCTGAATCCGACGTGCTTCTGCTTCGTCAGCATGTGCTTCTTAAGCCGAAACAAATGCTTAGTTTGCTGTGAGTGGCAGCACAGGCAGAAAAAACAGAAACTTCCCTCCTGGCTCCGAACTCCAGTGGTTTTAACGTTTAACCTCAACTAATTCATCCGAGTGATTTCCATAATGTAGCAGGACACGTAAGAGGAGACGTGGAACCTCTCAGTGCTGCACATCTGACACCAAAAGCCAGGTTGCTTTTCACTTATTTAAACAGAAAGTAGCCTTTACAACAGCATGATGTCACTACTGGCAGCTTCAGCCTCAAAATGAGAAACATACAAAGAACGCTATTGTTCTTTTTTTCTTTTCTTTTAATAAAATGGTTGATTAAGTCTAAAATTAAAAGGTACTAAGCCTGTCAAGAAAACAGTACAGTTTGGTTCATGTGGTTTCAGCCTCATGAAATAATTCAGGCTTTCCATTGACCACCAGTCATATTTGCTCTGCTGTCATAGATCAATAGAAACATTTTCCACACTGCTGATGAAAAACAAGGAGCTGGGTTTTAAAGCATTAGTTCTTGCATTTCTTTGGCGTGGAGTGCTTTATTGAGGAATCGCCATCAGCATTTATTTGTGAGTCAGTGAACAATTTTATGACCTGTGTTTTTGTCGTTTTAGAACTTATTTTATTTCTCTTCTTGAATGTGTTTGTTTTGCCATTCTTTAGGCCATAATAAAGACAGATGTTTTTTTAGGTAGTTATTTAATCTGTAGGGGTGTCCCAATCAAAAATCAATATCTGATATTGGTCTTATATCAACCACAAGACGAGTATGATGATCCAATATAAGCAAAGCAACAAAAGCATTCCAGTGTTCTGCACCAGGATTTAGTCCGACCCAGTGTTTCTACACAGCAGCACCTGGACCCACTGATTAATAATAAATAGATAATTTACTCTCATACCTGTGGTTGTTGAGTTTTGTTGTCTGATTGAAGCCTTTTCTAATATTCCACACTACAAAATAAGTGGTAAAATTATGTATGACTCATCCTGATATCGTATCGACTGAATATCATATCGGCTAACACTCAATACTGCAATATCTGCATCGTATCAAAAGTGGAAAAAATTGTATTGGGACACTCTTAATAATCTCTTCTAGACCTGTAACCAATGATTATTCCAGTTGTCGATTATTCTGATGATTAACCAATAAACTGGATTTAAAAATTTGGCACATTCTACAGATTTTTCATTTAACTTTTTAAGCTTTTGTAATAAAGTATTGTAAATATGTTGAAATAAAAAGAAACAATTCAATTCCTTTATCAAATAAGAAAATAAACAATTTTGTTGCCTAAAATGCAATAACAGCATTCCTTTGGTAAATTTGGACCAGGTGACGATTAATTGATTACTAAATTAGTTGACGATTATTTCCATAATTACAATTAATCGGATTAAATATTTCATTCCTAATCTTCTTATTTTATTATTTATAAAAAGTATTTAAAAGAAAAAAACAACTTATTCAGTATTTAAAAAGTGTGGGGCATACATTCAAAATCTGGGTTTTGCCTAGAAATATACAATTTGTTAGAGAGCAACACATAGCTTTCAAAGAGAACGTAGTAAAAAGGATTTAAGGAGGAACTTTTCAGCCTGGTAGAGACGACTATGAAAATGTGATGTGATTATGCAGTGGATAGATAATATGTCAATATTTCACACCTATTTTTGGAAAGCCATACCCTTTTAAAAAATGAATAACAATAAATAATTCATTTAGTCTGAAGATGCAGGGCTGGACCTTTGCTGACATTTTGTCAGGTTACAACCACAAACAGACCAACAAATAAAAAGCTGAATTGTGAAGTAAAAGGAAGAGAGTACATTGTTTTCTAAATTGTATTTGGCATGAAAATATGTTTACTCCATTCACCGCAATGAATGCAGTGAATGGAGGTTTTTGAAGTTTTTCTCTACTGGCTTGGCCCACCTAAAGGCGGACATGTTTTTGCTCAGGTTTAGTCAGATTAAATGGAGAACATCTGTGAACATTAGTTTTTATGTCTTTCCATAAACCCATTTGGATTCAGATCTGGATCATTTACACATGAATGTGCTTTGATCTTCTAGGACGAACAGACCGAAGAACTTCTTACATCCATTGTTTGTTTTTTTGCTTTTTTAACAAAACATAAATTTTTCACGCCACGACTTAATTTTATTTACAGCTCATGTTTTCATATATTTATTCATTTGATTTAATCTACATCTCATATGGGTCATCTTATCTTCGCTTCATTAATTTATTTCAGCCAATTTATTTCACTCATAACATGACATGGGAAAATGATCTTGTTATGAGTGAGGTAGTCTAGTACTTTTTCACCAATATTAAGTAATTAGTGACATAAAACAAGCTCCTATTATTTCCTGAAAAGTTCTGTGTTATTTCAAGCGTGCTACGATATTGGCACTGGAAACTGGACAGAATTTATTTGGTAATATTTTGTGTTTTTGCAGTGCACATTCCCCACCGGACCCTTTCGCAGAGTTTCGAGTCTCGTCCCAGTCTTCCCACTCACCCTCTCTCCTGCTGTTCCTCAGGCAGCGCACTTTGGGGATCTGGGAGAGCAGCTGGCAGTCCTCAGCTGGAGGAGGAGAGCAGAGGAGATGACATGTTATGTTTGGAGGCCAAACAAACACACACACACACACACACACACACACACGCACACACACACACACACAGAGGAAATCACATCTCTTTTTATTGCCTCTGTCAGTCACTCGAACTCACAGGCGCAGCACACAAGGCCGCGCGACCAGCAAAGCATCCATTCTTGGTGAAAGTTCGATGCCCAGAAAGACATAAACGTGAGCACAAACAAAAGCATTTTGCTGCATCGTTCACCTCGCTGTGCTGTTTTCCATAAACAAATTCAACTCGTCTCTGACCGGCCAGAAGCCGCCGCAGACCTTTTTGTTGCTGAGGGACGAGCGGCTTTGCAAACACGGGCGCCGACGCACACTCATGCCCTTTTGAGGATTAGTATCAGGAGCAGAGAGTGAGTGTGATCTCACTGAGGGATTGTGGGTAGATCTAGCAGCTTCCCCCCCACCCCTTCTCCCATCTCAGCCTTATGGTCGCAGACTGAAACTCGACAACTTGTAATCCTCTTTGATTAAACAACGACGCTCGTACAAACACGTTTGTTTGTATTTACGGGACACGGTCGTGTCGCAGGGGACGGGAGTGTGTGGTGTGTGTGTGAGATTGAGCGTGGGACAGCAGGTGTGTGTGTGTGTGTGTAAACATGTCTATATGTGGGACTAATCACTCAGGGAAGATGAGAGGAAAGCCGTGGGTTACACTCACAGAGCAGATGTTGAATTTCAGACAGATTAAGTGTGTGTGAGTGAGAATGTGAGTGTGTGTGAGCGTCCATTTTTGAGCGCTTTTGTGTTTCGTCGATGCAGCACACAAATTATACATTTTCACACATTGCCATGTTGCAACTGCACACCACATTTTTGAGGATTTTATGCTAAAACTGGTGCAGGATAGTGGAATGTAAAGAAATAAATATGTGTTTTTAAAGGTTTTCGGAAATATAATCTATTACAAGGCGGACAAAAGTAAAATTTTCTGCAGAAACGAGACAAAATCAGGTTGTTAGGCAACACCTATTGTCAAACTATCTGATGTGATTAAAGACAGATGTGTTTTTCCTAAATTAATTGGAGGTTGTGAGGGGCCTCATTAAAATCCAACATGGAGGCCAATGTAGGAGTAACTATGATTTATTAGCACTTCTGATGGTTTATTTCTAATCAGATTAGTCACATTGATAACAGTTAGCATGTACAACATTTAGCAAAGCCAATTTTTCCCTAACATGGAATGTGAAGACACTTATAGTGCAGCATCTTACTGTAAAAATATTTCAAGCGTGGTAAGAAGTAAAAAAAATTAGCATGCTAACCCCTCGTGTCGTATGTTTACCGTATTTCCCATTAGCCACTTGAATTTCAGGTTGACGGCCATTTTGAAAGGTGGCCTTTTAAGCCAATTCTTGTTGTAAAATGTTACCCATTTTCATGACTTGAATGAACTTTATGTCACATGACATGCTTTCAATTTTGGTCAACTAACATTGAAAAACTTTGCTAAGAAAGTTTTTGCTACCTTTCCTAGCAAGGTTAGCAAAAGTGAACTGACTTTGCTGTTTGTGAGTCTCAAACCAGAAAAGGAGAAAAATATTTTGATTGCATTCAAGAGAGAGGTAATAATTTTAATTCAGGTTGTACAAAACATCTGTTCTGTTTATTACTTATATACTAAATTAGGTGCTATTTTAATAATTCCCTATTACTAGCGCTGTTCCTCAAGGTCATAAATCATAAATCTCCTTCCTGTAGCCTGTAAGATTATACCATCCACAAATTTTCATAGATTTATAATTATTTTACCTCCAACCGAGTTAACATGAGGTTTTCCCCATCTGAGTAAAAATCGTTTCTTGTCAAATTCAACAGCAACTCTCTCAACTTTGATCTAAGTATCTAGTAGTCGTACTGTTTAATATTCTAGCTTGATCTGTAAATTACTATTTTTACTAAGTAATCTTTGAGCAATCTATTCTTGTCCCAGTGAAACTGGACACAAATGAGCTTGTCTGCACGCAGAGTAAAGATCAGCGTCCTTGACTGAGGACAAAGTGCATATAGTTAAGGCGAGCCTTGATGGGATTACCCTCAGCCGGGACAGGCCTTAATGCTGCTGCTGACCGTCGCGCTCCGCCACCTTCTTCGCCTGTCTGACTGCCAGCTCCCATCTATTGACCAACAAGCTCACACTCTCACTGCCAGAGCTGAAAACCTCAGATGCTCTCTGGTGACCGAGGGGCTCATTAACCCTCTGAAGCCTGAATGAAGGTCACATGGAGAATGTTTGATTTTTATGCCTGTCAAATCGTCAGGAAAAAGATGCACACCTCGACTTTCAATATGAGACAGATATTTAGAATCACAGTCTGTATTTTGACGGGGCCAACCCGTCACAAAGCATTTTCACATGCATCTAAAAGGTTGAGTTAAAATGAATTAAAATGGTATATGAGGCAATAAGAAACACTTTATTAAGATCACATTCAATACCAAGTTAATAACAGGGCCAGCATCGCAGATACCGATCATTTTTATTTAAGTTTGAGATGCTATAAAAATTCTGACCTTTAAGTGTTTTGTGGCATTTCCTTTTAATTATTCAGTTCAGTACCAGAGCAGAATTTGCAGTTTATACTTTAATAACATTAATATGATTTCTGTCGATTTTTCCTAAATAAATAAATCTAAAAAAAAAAAAAAAAAATCATCTGAGAGCAAATCAATATAAAACATGTTTTGAGGTAGAGTTGAGAAAATACAATATGGACATAAAATAAAATTTCAAGACGAAACTGAACTAAAGTACGAATCTTAGCACTCCAGTGTCGATGCGATACCAATACAGTCTTGGTATCAATGTTATCAATATTTTGGATCGATTCGCTCACCTCTAACATGAAGGAAATGTATGCAAACTACTTAAAATAGTAATATAAAAACCACGAAAAATATTCTATCTCATTGTTTTTGCATCAGACAAGTTGAAGTGAGAAACAAAAGATTATTAGATCGCAAAAGTTTAAGGGATACAGTGTAAAGACCGCTCAATGGGAAAAAATTCATTGGTTTAATTTTGAGACCATCATTGATTGATGTTTGGTAGTTATTGAGGCTGAGTGTGATTGTTGCTGTAGTTTATAGCAGCTTAATCCTGATACAGCCACACCACAACTGCTTTAACTCAAAGTGGAGAAACGTTCAGCTTTCCCATCTTTCCAGTTAAACCCATTTTTAAAAAAAGGAGTGCCTCAAAGAGGCTCACTGGCTTAAAGTCAGACCGGGGCAAAACTAAAAGCCTCAAACTGTAACCAAGGACTACAGGAAAGCGTTTCATGCGATACCCAACACTGGGAATTGTAATTAAAAACAGGGAAGGAGGCTTAACGTTTTGAAGTCTTTTGGCCGGTTTGGATACAGAGAGCAATGTGCGTCCATGATGGGTGCAGGTAGGCCGGCGGCCCACGGGGAGAATAAATCACGGCATTAGGGAGCTTAAAGTGCTCCTGCTGCTACATCCGCTGAGACACCACTGTTTAGATGTCTGGCCAGCTCTGGCACTTTCGAGTGTGTCCTTATGTGGGTCTGAGCACATTGGGAATTTAGGTCAACGTGCGGTTCCCAGAGACACAAGATGCATGAGGTGGAAATTACAGAAAACGCAGCAGACGGTGTGAAGCATGAGCTCATGTAATTCATCTACCTAATGCCGTCAAAGGGGAATAACTGCTAAGACGTGGTTATCCTTTATTTCCACAGAGCTACTGAAAAAAAAAAGACTTTTCACCCTCTAAAATGCAAAACCTACTTATTCATTTTACAGCAAGTCTCATATGTAGATGTTTGTTTATTTCATCAACAGTTGCTGCGTATCCATTGGACATATATTTGCAGAAAAATACATTTGCTTAATGGAAACACGACAATTTAGAAAAAAAAACAAAAAACTCTAAAATCTTTATAAAAAATGTAGAAAAAATGTAACTAATAATTCAGCTTCAGAAAACAAGAAGCTGAAATCGTATCGGTATCAGCTGATACTAAACCCCAGATATCGGTATCAGAAGTGAAAAAAGTTGAGCGGTGAGTCCCTAGTAGTAGCAACAACAACAATGACAAAAAAGCTTACGGTCAGTGCTAAAGTCGTCTATGAGGATTATTTCCTGAATGAGAGACGGGGGGCTTCGCATCAGGACACTGAAACAGAACAAAGAGAAGTGACGTCAAAGTGAAAACACCAGGCTTGTGTCGCCGCACCAGTCGTACGCGGCGGGTTGGGGGGTGTTTGCGTTCAGCTTCGTTACCTTTTGATGGTGCGAAGCAGAGTGGAGCGAGCTTCGTTGTGGAAGGTGATGATGATGCTCGTGGAGGGAAGCTCGGCGTCGTAGGTCAGAGATGCACATCTACAACAGCAAAATGAAAAGAAGAGATTAGATCTGTGCGCTCAGTCGGCCGCCTGCGATTAGCTTCCCATGCAGTCAGAAAGCAGACGCATATTGAGCAGAGTCTCAGCCAGCTGTGATTAGCAGAAGTGGCCTCATTGTTGCCATTAGTGACATGAAAATATCCAGTTGCCCGGCAACAATCATACAGGTTTGGGACCGCTTTCCTCTCTTGTTTCCGACACTCGGATATTCAAGTTCAAGTCAGAAGACACGAAGCTAAAATATTTTTAACTTTTTCAAAACCTTTACAGCAAAAGAAGCATCTTTTTACTCATTATGCTAAACATGTTATCCATTACATATGGAGCATGACCTTTATTAATTAGCTGGAAGCTCAATTAGCACCTTTGAAATGTGTCTAAATGTTTACGAGGTCTTTAGTATCAGCTGTGTTTTAATTTAGGGCTGAATGGGGAAGTTATAGGCTGGTGAGGAGTGAAGGTCAAGCTTCTGTGATTAGGGTAAGAAAACCTGAATAAACAATTATACGAAATCACAAG